TTATTCTCAATTATCGGAAAATTTAAAAAGTAAAAAGTAAAAAATCACTTATTTTCCCAAAAAAAAAATTCCTTCCTATTTAATACTCCCTCCGTCCAGTCATACTCCATCTGTCCCTAATTACTTGTCCACTTTTGAATTGACACACATTATTAAGAAAACAATTAATGACATAGTGAATTTACCATTTTACCCCTATTAATTATGAAATGGATGAAAAGTTCTACATTTTTCAAAGTAATTAGTCCTTTAATTGAGGGTATAATAGGTAAAAAAAATTGTCCTTTCTTGATTTGTCAAAATGGACAAGTAATTAGGGATAACTATAAAAGGAAAAGTGGACAAGTAATTAGGGACAGAGAGAGTAGTTATCAACTATACTAAAAATAGTTGTCCAACAATACTTGTCTAATTTAGAAAATCAAGAGATAATTTATCTTTTTGTCTATTTTATCCTTACTATTAAATATTATTCATTATCTAACATATTTTTCAAAACATTAAATTTAATAAAATCAAAGAATAATATAATAATATTACTCCTATTATTTATTAATATTTTTTAAAGAGTGCATTAAGTTAATAGTGAACAATAATTGTTTGTTGGCAAAGTCGTTACACTTGCGTATATCGATCAACTGACATTCCTTTTTCTCTATAAAAGGAGGCATTTTCTTAGTTGGAATATAAATTCACAATCAAACTCGTCAATACGAAATAAACATTAAGCAAATATTCCCACTTCTCTCTATTATAAATATAAAAAAAATAAAAAAATAATTCTAGGGATCGGAGTTTAATCAGCTGGAAGGAAGAATTAAGAAAGATGGAGATTATTGATATTTATATGTTGTCCACTTTAATCGTTTCGTTTCTTGCACTTATATTTTTGCTGTATAATAATCATCTCAGAATTAGGAAAATAATTACAAAGAAGAGCAACAAATTAGGCTCAAATAATGTAGGATTAGTAATTAATGAATGTTTAAATGATGATGGTAAAAATATGGATGTTATTATTGTCGGTGCCGGCGTTGCTGGTTCAGCTTTGGCCTGCACTCTTGCCAAGGTACCTACCATTTTTATATTTTTGTAATCTTCTCATGTGATTTTTTATATTTTTGGTATATATATTTTTCAAGGTTTTAAATTTAACATTTATATGTATTTACTTAGTGAGTCATATTATTTGTATTAGTACGTAAGTGTGATAGTGATTGATAATATTGATATATAATTGATAACGATGGTGATTGTGATGGCAAAGGTGGTTATTGATGATGGCAAGTAGTTGGCGATGGTAATAAAAGAGGTAGTTAGTTGTGATGATGATGAAAATTATTTACACATAAAAATACGACTTAAAAATTGTGATTACCACGCCTAGAAGAAATTAATTAAACATAAGGCTGCATTTAGCTTAAAGGACTGAGTGGCTGCTGTTACCAGATAATTATAACTAAAACTATATAGGTTAACAAAATCAATTTATCTCGAGAAATATTTATTCACAATATTTAGTACATAAATAATTATTCTTTTCCGATCATGTAAATTACTCTCTCCGTTTCAAAAAATAAAAAAATCTTGTAGTCCTAAACTAAAAATTATTCAAATGTACCAAAATGTTATGTAATCTTGTGATCGTTCTTTATGTAATGTTTATGTGATACAATTTACAGGATGGGCGGCGAGTTCATGTGATAGAGAGGGACTTGAGTGAACCAGATAGAATGGTTGGTGAACTTCTACAGCCTGGTGGCTATCTCAAATTACTTCACTTAGGCCTTCAAGGTACGTACGTATATATATATATATATATATTGAACTCCCTCCGTCAAAAACTATAGGTATAATATATAAATATGTCTTCTAATTTGGTTTTAGTTGTTATTTATGCCCTTCAATTTTGGGTGTGCACAAATAGACACTTAATTTTGTATAAAATTGAAGAAGTAGGCACACATGTTCTACATGGTATACTACATGGAAAATGCCACATAAGACACAAAATTGCCATGTAGGATGCCACGTAAAATGAATGTATCTATTTGTTCAATTTTGTACAAATAAATTGAACAAATAGCCACATTCGTTTTACGTGACGTCCTACATAACAATTTTGTATCCTTTGTGGCGTCCTACAAGCATGTATTATGCCACGTAGGACGTGCATGTGTGTCTACTTGTTCAGTTTTATTCAAGTTTAAGTGTGCTCATATATATGCCAAGTTATATAAATCCACTACATGTGTGCAGATTGTTTGAAAGATATAGATGCTCAAAGGGTAGTTGGACAAACTCTTTACAATGAGGAGGGAAAGCATATTATGCTATCGTATCCCTTAGAGAAATTTCATGCAGATGCAGATGTGTCCGCAAGATGTTTCCACAATGGACGTTTCATCCAAAAAATGAGACAAAAACTTGCTACCTTTCCCAAGTACGTAATTTCATGTCCATCCTACGTAAATCGTAAGATTTTTCTTTAAGTGAATTGAGCAAATAATATGTGTACATAAAAGGTGGTATCTTTTGTTACACCATACTCTAAACGTATTGCGGTATTTTTATAATTTTAATGTAGTGTAAGAGTTGAAGAAGGAACAGTAACATGTTTGATTGAAGAAAAGGGAAGTGTAAAAGGTGTAAAAGGTGTAAAGTACAAGACAAAAGAAGGAGAGCTAAGTGCTTATGCTCCTCTTACTATTGTTTGCGATGGTTCTTTTTCAAATCTACGACGTTCTTTGTGCAATTCAAAGGTAAATTAAATTCATTAATTTATAAATATATATTGTGTATATTTAACAAATGTTTTTTTTTTTTGGTTATATATAGGTGAATATTTCGTCTAGTTTTGTTGGATTAATTCTAAAAAATTGTCAACTTCCACATGAGAACCATTCAGTTCTTATCATGTCAGACACCTCACCAATGTCAATTTATCCAATTAGCAGCACTGAGATACGATGTATGATTCTTATTCCTGCTCAAACTCTTCCTTCTATGGCCAATGGAGATCTAGTTAACTATTTGAACACTGTCGTAGCTCCACAGGTATGTATTTTTTCGTGGAGGACGGTCAACTGAACACTCTTTATTTAATATAATACTCATTAATGTATATTGTCGGTATACATAAGCTTAACTCTAAGGAATAAGGGGCATAGCCTTATTTGCAGTAATTAACGTAATATAATTAAAATGTTTACTGTACGTGAATAGCGTTTTAAACTTTCATTTACTATGTTACTTGTTAAATTTAGAATAAAATAATAGTTAAAACATTATTGAGAAATATGTTTAGACTTCCTTGGAAAATCTTCAAAATGTAGTACTACTACTTTTGGTTAATTCATTCAAATAATGGATTATTCAGGTGTGTTCCAATTTCTATGACTCATGATCAAAAAAAGACTGATACATTCTTACATTTAGTAACAATTTAATTTTAAAATATCTATTTTACCCTTAGTTAAATAATTTATAATCACACGAACATCTATGACTTATTTTAGATCTCAAGTTTTAAAAGTCAGTTTTTCTTTCTTTAAAATTCGTACTCAATCAAACTACATCACATATAAATTGGACGAGAGTGGGGAGTATACATCATCATTGTAAAATATATATATATATATATATATATATATATACTCTCATTAGATTTGTAGTTTTGAAAATAAGACAGGTTAGTTTAGCTAGTATATAATTGATAACTAAGGCTACGGGTTGTTTCATGTTTGATATGAAGGATAGAGATAATAATCTCAGTATAAAATGGATTATATTAGTTAGTCCCAAAATTATTTATCCAATCATTTGTACTAGTCGTAATAAAATTGATATGGTGGTATTGTTTGTTAATAGGTACCTGGTGGAATGAGAGATGCATTCGTAAGAGCATAAAGTGACAAAGAAAACATAAGAAGAATGCAACTGAGAAGCATGCCTGCACAGAATTTTCAGACAAAACCAGGTTGCCTACTTATTGGAGATGCCTTTAACATGCATGAGACACCCTATAACAGGAGGAATGACTGTTGCTCTTTCCGACGTACTTGTTTTTCTTAGAACTCTACCCAACTTAAATGATACTAACGCTGTCTCCAAATCTCTTCAACGGTTCTACACTCGTAGAAAAGTGAGTACTCGGACAATTTCTCGTATGATCACTCAACTAATAATTATAATTTGATCAATTTTTATGTAATTTTGTAGCCGCTAGCATCAACAATTAACATAGTGGCTGATGTATTATACCAATTAGTTCTCTCTGATCCAGCAAGAAAAGAGATAAGAGAAGCATGTTATGATTATATAAGCCTTGGAGGGATTTTTAAAAATGGATTAGCTGCTATGGTTGCTGGACTAAATCCAAATCCTATCAGTTTGGCTCTTCATTTAATTGCTATAGGACTCTATGCTGCTGCTCGTTTATTACTTCCATTTCCTACCCCAAAGGCTCTTTGCCGTCTTACCAAACTTCTTTATGTAAGTATATACGTATATAACTAAACCAAATCTTTTATTTGTACTTAGTATTGATCTGCTTCTTTGATTTTCAGGTTGCAATTGGTATGATTCTCCCCATTATTAAAGCAGAAGGAATTAGACAAATGTTCTTTCCAGCTACCTTTCTAGCCTACTATACGATTTATTAATGAATTTGAAAAAGTAAAGGTCGTAATATTTATAAGAAATAATAGCATCATCATGTATAAGATGAATAGGCTGAAACTTATGTGTATATATATATAATAATCATATATAAATATATCCTTCCTTCTTTTGCCCCACCCCGTTAGTTCTTTGTACACTATATATCTTTAACAAAATAGTTGACTAATTATATTCAACTATGAAAGTAAGGTTTATGTCTCTCTTTTCCAAGTGGTAGGGTTGATTGTCAAACCCCACAACCAAATAAATTGCACTAGTATTTTTTTTTCCATATATTCCCTTGGATTTTATGCGAACAGTTATTCCACTTGGAAATGTTAAAAACAAGTTACACATTCCTGTGAAAGAACCTTTTTGAGGCTACGTCTCTCTTCGGTAGACAAAAGTCTTGTACATAATGTCTAGAATGTTATACTATACTTGTTCTGAAGTCTAGCAAAATACATTTTTTATAATAAGACATCAAAAAATTCTAATTATACATTGTGTATGCCATAACTACGATCATGAAACCTCCTCATGGTGATCCGTCTCATCAAAGATTTCCTCCTACACAAAAAAAAAAAACCAGAATTGGCATCTATAGTGGCAGAAGTCTAGAAAAACATTAAAATATAAAAGTTCAACATATAATAGCAAATTGTATTAAGTTTTCACCTGTAAAAGCTCTTCAATAACATCTTCCATAGTTATTATTCCAACAACCTCTTCCTCTTCTGGGAGTTTTGGCAGGGGATTTCCATCTATTGGCAGAATGTCCGCATACATATTTTTCGTCCACTTTTTGCTCCTAGTACTTTTGAATGAAGCATTTCCATTGTTAGGGAAACTCTTCCACTTCTGCAATGATCGTTTTGTCTTAAGACTCTTCTCGAGGGGAGGCTTTTCACCATCAATGTCTACCCTGACATCTTTCACGGGAGCTGGAAAGTAAAGAGGAGGTGGAGTGTCCAAATTAAAGAAGGTTTACATGCGATAAAAGAAAAATAATCCCAGCAGGCAAAACGTACTCTCTGCAGGGGATTTGCTAGCAGGCTGATCCATATCATCTTTGCACTGTCTTACTACCACAGCCATATGGCTATGACCTTTCTGAAACTCATTCAGGATGTCATCCAAATGCATAGAATCTGGGACCCTGCACCATAAGAAAAGAAATCATGAAGAATGTTTATGAGGGATACTGGAAGCCCAAGAACAATCATCACACAGTAATTGCAACCTAAAATGAATGCAGCATCATTGACACAAACAAGGACTTCCATTCTTAGAAAACGTAAGATGACATAAAACACAAGACTAAAATATTTTCAACGTGAATAGACATGACACTATCACGTACAGCATTTAAGTTGCCCTGTCTACAATGAAGTTGAATATCTTGTTCACTTTCATGTGCCAATCTTTTATCATTTTCATCAATGCATTTTCAAATAATTTTAGAACTATCCATCTTCCTAAAAAACAAACTTACTTCAAATTAAAGTAAATCGTTTTTTTATTTCAGTTAAGATACCGGTAGAACCAACTCTCACTGAATGGAGTAATGTCATTCAATTTGGAAGCACTGAAGTTAGGGATGTGGTGAAATATATCATGGAAAACTTTTCAACTGTGCTATACGACAATGAATTTCAGCTCTAGGCTGAACAGAACATAAAAAGGTTACATGCCAAAAGAACCTGAATTACTGAAAAGAAGACGGCAAAAAGAACTTGAATTTAAATTAAAGATATGCTGCTAACTGATCACAAAAAGTTAAATATATGCTGGGCAGCAATCAAAAAAACCAAAGAAAGCACAAGACTAATTTGCTTTTGCAGCCTCTCCAACACTTAAGATATAACATATACCTTGGGATTCTTCGGATGGTAACATTCTTCACAGGAGTTCCATCTTCAGGATGGACAGTCAACAAGTTCTTAACCTACAATGTCATAAAACAAGTAGGCATTAATGACGAATATGGAACATAGACTTGTTTATAGGATGTAGACAGATGGTGGATGAGTACAACTAACTACACACATGAAACGACAAGGCAAAAGCAAGCTTAACTCTGAGAACACACTTAAATCTGAGACAGACCAGTGTTTAAGAACTTGATTTAGCCAGAGTTTATCATGATGAGTTACGAGAAGACATTGCATATCTCAACAGTCGAGGCAGAATCTCAAGCATTTCATGATTGGAGGTGAGCTTATTCAACTGAATTCTTTGAGGAAATTGGAAGTTTTTAAACCATGTGGGGAAGTTATTAGTATAAAATCTGGTAATGTACCACATTTTTGTCTTGGGTAAAAATGAATTAAGAAATGATGATTGGGGAAAAGATATCACAAGCCCTTTAAGTTCCAAAAGCAGCCACCTAAGAGGACACTTTCCATAAACTTTTAAGTAGTAGTGATATTTCTCTCACAAAGTTCCAACAGTGTATGGGTTTCATAGAAACCTACCGAGTCGCTACAAAGTCAAAATCACCATTCAAGTTGAACAAGAAATTGGAAGTAACTGGAGGATTTGTTAGATAACAGCTCTTTGGTTCATGAAACATAGAAACAAAGTCCTTCAAAGTTGGCAACAAGGGGGAAGTGAAATCAAACTTCGTGGAGAGGAATTGTTTTATTTTTGGGCCTAAATTAGGGAAGAAAATACTTCCAACTACGTCACGGGAAACTGCACAAATAAATCAATAATTACCAGAATTAACCCTATTATGTTTGTAGGTTGGTCATAGTAGACTGGTATCCTGCTATGCCCTTTCTCCAAAATCAAGTTCATCAGATTCCTGTACATAAATAGGGGAATATAGAGTACCAAGCAGCTGAAAAGGCAGTGATACATAAATCTATTATGACATCAAAAGATATAGAAACCTGTCCAGCTTCGCATTAATATCAATGGCAAAGATTTCAGATATCGGGGTCATCGCATCACTAGCTGTCTTGTCATGCAGCTCAAGAGCACCAGCAATTATCGTTGTCTCATCATGTGTAAGCTCTCCGCCTTTACCAGCCTATTTACAAGGAAGTCATGGTATTAGAAGTATAAAACAACCAACACATGGAAAGTAGAAATCCTAATTCAAGTGATTTAGCAGTACAGATTCTCTAGATCTAAAACAAGTAGAATTCTTATCCAAGTGGATTAGAGGAAGCAATAAGTCAATTAGATGATACAGGAAATAAAAACAGCTAGATCTATGTGGCAATGTATTAGAAGCACAAAACAAAACTGAATCAACAACATAGCTGCTTCAATTAATTACCTCATTCCCATGCAAATTTACTAGAGTTTTCAACTCAGCTCGTCGGAAAAGAGCTCTATTTCCATGTCCCAGCAGAAAGTCCAACAGCTGGAAATCACAGCAACTAAATGAGCTACTAATATAAAATAAACAACTACCATCCCAAAGCCAACATTTGATAATCGAACTTGGAATACAGTCAGCACTCAATTCAGAAAGACAACGTTCAGCTAGATGGGAAGTTAACATAAATCATTGCATAAAAGAGTCTACCTTGCTTATTGGATATGCAATAGGAAAACAGATGCAAACAAGAACACGGACAATTGGGGCTGTAGCTGCACCGATTGCAAGTCCATATCTTGAGCAAAGTGATTGTGGTATGATCTGCTCAACCACACAATAGAAAACAGCACATGTAAATTCTCTTGAAACTGACAAAAAAGCAGCACATGTAAATGATCATGTGGTTTCACCAAACAGCTTAATTCTTTCACTTTAAGGAAAACTAATGCATCTAAACTCTTGCTAAATTGTGTTTTAAAAACAATACATCTTTATCAAATTCCTTCTTCATTAACAAGGAGGTACAGAACAATGCATAGGAAGCCTTTTTCACCAGGACTTTGTTTACATGACACCCAGACTGTCAAGTAAGCCTAATGACATCTTAAAGGCAACAATCCATGGATGGTAATGAGGTGCAGAAAGTAACCCCAAACGCAGAATCTTGTTTGCCCGTTTCAACAATGCTGCGGAAGTTTCTTACTATATATTTCCTTCAAAAAGTTATATAGAATTAATTGCACTTATTTGAGTGGGAGGGAGTGAAAACAACTTCATCCCAAAGTATTAAATAATCATAAAGCAACTTAGGAGAAAACTAATAATCCATAATAAGAAAAGGGCATGGACGATCTAAAGAATCACATCACGTAATTAAAGTGAATTCATCCTCACGTAATCACGTGTGTAAATTTGGTGTAGATAAATCCATAAAGGGCAGGGAGGCACACACGCCATACAGGACCCTACTTCCCTTCCCATCTGGGTAGGTGCACGGGAATACCCGGCGACCATCCCACCCAGTGTGATACCTAAATCCATTTCCTGATTTAGTCGGTTTCAAGCATATACTGAACAAAAAAAATCCTCACCTCACTAAACAGAAATATAAAGTGAATTTGTTGCCCACATGTACAAATTCGGTGGAAGTAATTCCATAAAGGGCAGCGAGGCACACACACCATATGGGACCCTATTTCCCTTCCCATTTGAGTGGGTGCACGGGAATACCCAACCACCCATCCCACCCAAGTGTCATCCCTAAATCCATGTCCTGATTTAGACAGTTTTCAAGCATATACTCAACAAAATAAAATCCTCACCTCACCAAACAGAAGTATCAACGTGACAGAAATCAGTATAGCACCCCAAGCAGTAACTAGGCCGTCTAGAAATATGGGAAGTGCCTGAAAGGTTATCACACAATTTAAGAGCTAAATAAATATCCAAAAATAATGCAACAATTGCTTGTTGAAACATACAATCATAATCTTGCATATATACCTCCATAGCAGCAGCATTGCAAATAAGCAGAGTGCAAAGCAATAGATGCTGCTTTTTAACAACAGGCAAGATCTTCTCTGTTAAGACAAAAGCAAAAAGTCTTAATTGTGAAACCATAATTCCCTAAATGATAACAGTAATGAAATGCCACCAGATTATTTCAAAACCTCAAGACAATATTTAGTATCATCTACTTCTACAACCTATTGACAGCAGATAAAACCACTTATTGCATGCCTATCTCTCTCGCTCTCAATTCATCATTCTCAAAAACCCTCTTTTCGAGATCATCTCACTAAAAGCACCTACAAATTACTTGTGGACAAGCAGTATCACAACAAATTTAAGTTCAGCATTCAAGGTTATTCCAACTAGTATTGAAATTATTTATGAGATCGAACTCCTAATTTGCGTTAAAAGACAAATTACTGGAATGAAATAAGCCCAAATTCAGCAAAGCTAGTTCAGATGATTTATATAATAGGCCCCAACTATTTTTGGATTGCAGCACAGGTGATCTTTGATTGATTCAAAGGTTACTCAAGAAAGAAAGAAAATCATTTCTTAGCAGATAATTGGCCAGTCCCTAGTCCATACAAAGTCTAAGCATATTTATTGCTCAAAGATCTTGCGTTTATCATCTGGAAAAATCCAAGAACATTCATTAAAATAGACAGTATTTGCTATCGCACAAAATACACAAAAGGAATCAAACTAACAAACCCACTTCATCATATACCATAAAAGCAGCCAAAAGTCAGCAACAGAGCAAAACTAACTTAACAACAGACACACCGCCACAATGTTAACAGCAAAATAAGGCCGGAAAAAAGAAACAATACCAGCATTTTTACGATCAATTGGAGTTCCAGACTTGGCAAGGACTTCCAGATCAACTAGACTGAGCGACATGAGCCCTAGCGTAAGGCCAGACATCAACCCAGCGAAAAGTACCAGAAAAACAATTATCACAATATGTATGAAGAACCCTGTCTCGCAACATGTATACTCCACCGCCATTCACCTTCTCCTCCCCAAAAAAAAACAACTCCACCAACTGTGTAACCCTAGAAAGCCTAAAAAAACTCAAAACTTAAATGTTAGAGAAACACAAGCCAGTACTCAATCACCTCCATTCTCTAAACTCCCCAAATTTATATCTCCTCCAAAATAACTTCACACAAAAAAAATGCGTTCCTAAAGAAACAGCAGAAGAAAACAGTGCAACAGCTTTCAGAGGTCACAATTTCCTCGTTTTTTTATATAAGAATTCGAAACGGTAATTTAGAGAAACGGAAAGTATATATAATATACTCTACTTTATTTTTTTATGAATAAAAAAAATGCTTGACAAGTGAGATTCGCCGGCGGTGGAATATACGGCAACTACGGTGGAAATTATGGATAGGTATTCGCCGGAGTGAGAGGCTGCGGTAGGAAGGTGAAGCAATAGCGAAGGTGACGTGTTAGCGTGGGAGAGAAGATGATAGTGATGCAGCTGAACTATTGATATTTATATAATTGATTGAAATTTTTTTTAAAAAAAAATTATTTTCTTACCCATACTTTGCTCCTTTTTTATTTTATTTTGTCGGCTTATGATTTTTCTTGACATTTTTTTTCTAACTTTACGCCTCTGTTTTCCTTTTCTTCCTAGTATCACAAAATTGTTAGGAGTACCAGAATAAATGGAGTTAAAAAAAAAATGCGCTAGCAATTTTTTTCCATTTAGGAAACGATTTCTATAAAAAATATTTACATATTCAAGACTCGAATTTAATCTCCAGTTAAGGTAGAAATATTTTGTCACCTGCATCATATCTATTTATAATGATGCTTGTATTTTGCTTGGTATAGTATTCAATAATTTTAATGTAAAATATATTTATGGTTAAAAAATTTCCACCTAAGTCAAGAAGGTAAGATGTTAAAAGTGCGAGTTACTTGTAGTTTTAATAATTTATCAAAAATTAGTAACTTTTCTATTTTAAAAATGTAAAATTTGAAATTTATTAAAAAGTTAAACAATTGGGAAAATACCTACTTTTCCTAGTCACCATTTTTAGATACTCCTATGGAAGTTTGAATTGTGACCGTGAACAACTTTTGTTTTTGTTTCTTTAATTAGGAAATATTTTACTTCTCTATGTTTCAATTCATGTGGTATTATTTAAATTTCAAATTAATCCTGACTTCAAACAGAAAAACAAATTAAAACAAAATTGACATATCTTATAACAAAAATTATAAGTTACAATAATTTATAATTTAAAATATAATTAGAAAAAAATTACGTTAAAAAAAATCTTTTTAGTCTCACTTCTCAAAACGTGTCACGTAAATTAACGATCTTTTTTATATATCTGCTCATAAATCATAATGTTATCAAGTAGTCTACATCAATTAATTAATTACAGAGTACCAATTTTATACACTCAAAATGTCATTTTTATCATGTTCACTATCCACAGATTTACGTGTATCCTATTTTTATTTATTTATTAAAAACTAGTGTTTCGACACGTGCGTTTCACGTGATTACCAATTCAAAAAATATATGTTATAGTAAATAATATTGCTTATTCAAGCAAAGATTTTAATAATAAGCTTTGCACAAAAAATATTATAGATTATTTTGTGAATGTTCAATGAGGATCGTCATATATATTTTTTATTCACGCGGATCTATGAAGATGATGAATGAAAAAATTTATTAGTTAAATGTAATAATGTATATATTTATTTCAATTTGATGAGGTTCAATCTTGTAATTAGTCGTATCTCATTAATATTACCTTATAGACGATATTTGTTGTGCATTCTTCTTGTCATCTAACCAGATGTGTTTTGCACGTGTATTCCACGTTAAACTGTTTAAATGGATATGAACGTGTTAAGAGAACAATTATATTTTATTTTTTAGAACTATTTTTTGTACACATTATTTTTTATTTTATAAGTTATAACATAATAGATGACGTTCTTATTGTTGGCTCTCATATTTGACTTCTCGATTGACTGTGTACATAAATCAAAGATAATTATCTGACTGTCCATAGTTAACTAAGAAAGGTTTCCTTTTTTTACCGAAAAAACTAAAAATTAAAATTAAAGAATATATTCTATCTGTGAAATCATATATATAATCACTTGTTTATCTTACATCTAACAAAGATACTTCAATTTATTCAACCAACCATGATTCGTCCAAGGAAAAATAACAACATCATGGTATCACATATATAGGGGCGGTATAATAATATGAGAAATAATTGGTCAAAGATTAATATGAGGAAAGATGAAAGATATAAATAATTAATGTAATTACTATGAGAATTCATAATATTATAACTTAAGAATGTAAAAGAGGGTGAATAACGTTTGCAATTTTTAGTAATAACTAAGAGAATTTATAATGTTATGACTAAAGAATTAATGTGCAATAGTTGAATTTCTAATAAATTTTATACTTACATGAATAAATAGGACTTTTAATTAATGTTACTATTTTTTTATAGTTATTAGATTTTAATTTAGTGTAGGGAGAAAATGAAATGTTTATTCCATATTACTTAATATAAAATTTATTTTGTAAATGATAAATTTTAAATGATTCATATATATTCACATATTTTTACATTTGTTGTGAGTTTTTTTTTAAAAAAGAACTCAAAACATTATAAAATAATATATTTTGAAGTTAGAAGATCTTGTTAACTTTATAATACATTCGTGCATTAATGAAAATATTTATCTCATAAAAATTAGTTATTAAATAAATAAAAAAAAAACTAATACAAACTTCAACTGACATTATAACAAGTCATATGAACTTTTCCTTATCTAAAATACTCAAATATTGAGAAATAGTAAATAACTAAAAACAAAAGGGCGATGTTTATATAGTAATAACTATTTTGAAGCAAACTTCCTGACAATCTAAATCACATAAGTATAATTGATAAATAAAGTCATTATTTTGTCTTGAGCATCAAAAACACAAATCGTGACAATTATCTAACTCTTAAGAAGTCTAAAAATTCTGAAAAAGGTTATTCAGAAGTATATATCTATATCACAAGAAAAATTGTTAACAAAAACAAATGAATTTAGACTACATCATGTTAACTTCATATATTCGAACATTACATACTAATGTATATATTAAGTGAAAAATAATAATTATTATATCATCAATATTATTTTCCTCAAGTACTGGAAGTTATGGAATATACAATCTTAGGATAGATTTACTTCATCAGAATAGTGGTACCTCATATTACGCTAAACTTTGAACTCACTCAATCAATAAATCACACGAAATTTTTTAAAATGCAAGAAGAAGAGTAGAAGATTAAAAAAAAATTGTGGTTGAAAAATGATAGGAAACCCCTCTATTTATAGTCAACAAATAGTAGTATGAACAAGTGTTTTTTGTGTCTTATCTGAAAAGTCACAACTTATTGAGAAAGTCACTACTCTTTGGAAAAGTCACAACTCATCGAAAAATCACAACTCTTTGAAAAAAGTTACAACCTAAGTTAGGAATATTATAGTAATTTAATATTCAAGTTAGGAGTTCATGCTTTTAAGATAATATAAATATAAATATAGATAGATTATGGTGGGGTATATAATATGATTAATTAACATAATCCCTGCTAATGTCCCATTCCACACGAGTTCGGATTTATTATTTGTAGGATGCACTTTCATTTAATTAGTGGTACCATAGTATTATATTATTATTTTAGCCAAATCTTAGCACCTCAAATTTTTTATTTTCGTACTGATCTCGTGGTAATGATCCTCTGACATATATGACAGCTGCGACCCAACTGGGTAAAGTACATATTATTGTATTATTGAACTATATGATCAAATTTTAATACTGATTCACTCATATTAATTAATTAATTAACTTACTATTTAAGTATGTTTAAGAATGTAATATACGCACTTAATATTGGTCATTGTCATTTTGTGATTAAAAGCGGGATCTTTAATGGTGGGACTAGACAAAAAATGTTGGCTTCACGTAATGTCTGTTACGATTTGGTTTATAAGTATATATATATATATATACTACTTAATAACATGGAACATGGTCCATTTAATAATTCAAAACAGACAACTAACCTATGCTAGTCTGAAAAATAATAATTAAAATGACATGTTTGGTTACTTGCCAAATTTAAATTTAATAGAAGTAATTAATTAACGGACAAATTATTACATATCTCAATGAGTTCATAAAAGTTAAACAATAACATATTTAATGAAGGTAAAAATAGAAAGATTATTTTGAAAGACAATTAAAAATAATACGAGCTAGTTAAGAGGGTGTCTGGATTAACTTAAAAGTTGGTAAAATATACGTTTAAGTCAGTTTTTGACTAATGAAAATGTTTGATAAATATAAAAATAACTTAAAATAAGTTTAAAATGACTTGAAATAAATTAGGAAGCGTTTGGCTAGGTTAATTTTAAGTTTAAAATGACTTAAAATAAGTTAAAAATCAAAAGTAGGTCTCCCCAACATTTTTATTTTTTGACTTTAAGTCATTTAAGTTTGAATTTTTATTTTATTTTAGACTTAAAAGCTACCCCCTCCGTTCATTTTTACTTGTCACATTTTGACTTGACACACATATTAAGAAAATAATTAATGATATAGATATTTTACCAAACTATCTCCTAAATGATGTCTTCGAAAATGATTTGGAAAATAAGTATTTAATGTTGAGGGTAAAATATAAAAACAAATAATTATCTTTTCTTGATATGTCAAAAATAATAAATAAAAATAAAAATCTATTTTAAAAATAAGTGACAAATAAAAATGAGTAATACATTTTTTAAATCAATCTAAACACTCTCAAAATCAATTAATAGGTCATTACATCACAAATGAAGTTAGATGGAATTTATGTTTTTTGCATTTATTGTTCTCGACCTACTTCTCCGTATAATTTTAGATTATGCGTCGGCATTCGGCAATGCCATTATAATTAGTGCTTTAAGCCGGTGTCAGAAAATAAATATCCGGAAGAATATATGGTAAAGACTAAAGAGATCCAATTTTGAGTAAAATAAATATCGCATCTTTGATCTTGTTCAAATAAAATCATCACGTACTATTAATAAAATCCAAATTTATTCTCTTTTATCTTCGAGTCTATCACGTACAATTTGACTAGCCTACCAAGTAAAATAACACTCTAGCTGGATTCAAACTCAGGTCTCGCGGGTAGATTTTCTAGCTTGTACCTGCAGCATAATGACACTTATATGCTTTACATGGTGCACTATTAATTATATTTTAATTTATGACCCTTTTTCAAAATAAATATACATATACACATATTTTTTTCTAAAGTTACCGCATGCACGTGCACGTGCACCCCACCTAGAGGGATGGGTCCGGCTCTGCCTATAATTGCCACTAGATGTAAAGTTGTGTTAGTATGGATTTAATAAATCATATTAAAAATGATCTTATTTAAATACTTT